CTGAGAAGTACAACTTCCAGTCGAATCAGATGCAGATGCGCGGTCCGGTTCCCGAAGCCATGTACCACCGCTACGTCGAGTTCAAGCCTTTCGTTAAGAGCATGTTCACCGCCAAGGGCGTGCGAGGATTCGTCTTATCCAAGGCACTGCACCACCAGCACGCGCGCGTATACAACTTCGATCACGCCACAGAGTTCAAGGTTCTGCCTGCGCCTTGCAAGGAGTTCACGCAAAAGTTCCTCGAACTAGTCCACTACGATCAGGGTGGGAGAATCTTCACCTACGTCTTGACCCTCGATGCGCTCTTCCGATTTACAGAGACTGGTAAAGAATTCGGCATCGACATGCTGAGCAAGCATACCATGCACAGCGATGTGGCAGCTTACGTAGCATTTTCCGGTGAGTTCTTCATCAGAAGACTAAAGCACAAGGACCGCAAGCCTCCGGATGAAGGCGGGAACAACACATCCCACCCGCCAGGCGACATCGACGGCGGACCCCCCAAGGAAAGCCCAAACAAAGACCCAGCCTACTACGAACTCGTCATCGACAACGACTCTGGCACCTACCGTCCCAATGCCAAACTCCTCCCTCAGCTCAAAGAATTCATGTCTCAGAACCTGCCTGGCCTACACATCCGCACCCTCGACTGCCAAGGCGACGCCGAGAAGATGGAAGCCATGAAGTCCGAACAGCGCGAGCGCAAGAAGAGGGAGGGCCAAGCTGTGGTCTACACTCAGATCAGCAGAAGCAGCAGTATGAGTAGTAGCGACGAAGAGGAACTGGATCGTCTAGAGAGTGAAGGTCAAATGGCGCCCAAGCATCTCAGACACCAGGTGCAACGGGAGGCCGAGGCGAGAGTCGATGCATTGAAATTCCATGCCAAGGAATACCGCCCGAGTAATAACCACGAGGGGTGGAGGGGCGATGGCCATCCCGCTAGAGCCGATGACGGGGAAGTGGACAAGATGAGGCAGGAGAACGGAGATGAACCGGTGACATCGCACGAGAGCACACAATCTGGTGCTAAGAGCTAACCTGCATACTCGACTAACGTCTATTCCTTTTCGTCCATCTGTCATCATCACGCCTTGTACATGGTTTCCTTGATACGTTTCCCAGCATATCATCTTCTTGCACTCGAGCTTCTGCTACTTTAGTGTTTTCTTTTTTCGTTGTGCTTTCTTGAATTGCATCTTGTCCGAGTTAAAAACGCTTGCAGCTGAAGAGAGCCAGAGAGAGAGAGAGTGGGAGGAAACATTACATACACGGACACTCTCTCTACCCCGAGATACCCGCCATCCTATATTCCTGTAGTAGAAGAGCTTAATTTCCTGCTATTATCAAATTTACCTGTTATCATTGTAACGAATACTTTTCCGTCTTTGTGAACACTACGCATGAGCCCTGCCAGCCGTGAAGACTCTACATTGGTTCACCCCACCCACGCGTTCATCACACCCACTCCGGCACCTCAACCTCCGGCTTACTAACTCCAAACCTCACTGCTTTGGCATAATACTCCAACAGCGCTTCCCCTTCTTGTCTCCCCCTCTCAAACTCCTTCCTCAATCTCTCCCTCCCCTCGCCAAACAACCACACCTGCTCCCCGCCAGCACCCATCCGTTTTCTCATTCCGCGACTGTAATCGAGCGCGTGTCGGACTTCTCGGCGGTCTGTGGCCTTGGCTTTGAGTGCGATGTAGGCGGTTAGGTTGAGGAGGACGGCCAGGTCGAGAGGCGTTGTCAGGGTTGTTGGAGTGGTGGATGCTGAGGCGGAGGAGGTAGTAGAGGTCGATGTCGAGGTGGAGCTTGATGCGGTAGACGAGGGATATTGGGGCAGATCATGGCCGGTTTCGCTTCTTAGGGCAAGGAAGACGCCGGTTGTCAAGGCGGCGTGGATGTAGGTTAGTGGGAACTTGTTTGTGGCTGTGTGCAGTTCGAGGCTGCTTTCTAGGGCACTGGATAGTGGGGTCCAGACTTGGAGTGGGGGAGCGCGGGAGCTGTTGGTGTTGCTGTTGCTGCTGGTGCGTTTGGGCGTGGAAGAGGACAGGGTTTTGAGGACCCAGAGATGAGCGTTCGCCCATTGTTGGGGTACGTTCCAGTTGGTTTGTTCAGACGCGTTGTTCAAGCTCGTTTCGAGTAGACCGGGATATGCAAAGAAGTAGTCTCTTATCGCGCGGTGGGTGTAGCTTATCCTCAGGCTCTCGGTACTGGCGTGTTGATCGGGTGGTGTGGTGTCGAAGATGGTCAACATTCCTTTACACCGCTGTTGGGTGAGGGTCTGCATGTCTTCGACTCTCTTACTTATCTCGACTGCTGTCAAGGGCCGTACATCTGCGGCTAGTGTTGCTGACGTCTCGGCTGTGAAGGCAAAGGAGAAAGGAAGGATGGCCGGGCATATGTCTTGATGTGAGAGGAGGGCGTGCAGTTTTCCAACTGCTTCGACGTCCTCTGGAGCCATTTTGCTGAGCATGTGGGCGAGCAGATCGTCCAGGAGATAGGGAAGCCCCTCTGCGCGATCTTTCAGGACGAGAAAATCAGAGTCGGGCTCTAGACTTTCGAAGAGAAACGTGGTGGCGAGTTTCAGCCACAGGAACACTCCTGAGCTCTTTTCAGCGAGCATCCCGACGATGTGTTCTTCCTCTTGGCCGTCCATCTTCCCTCTTAGCGAATGCAACTTTGGTTCCTCGCCGAACGTTCTGATCAGGTAAGTCTGTATATCATCTCTCGTGTATTCCTCCAGTACCATCCTAGGCTTATTCTCAAACGCCGAATAGAAGACTGGTGAGCTCCGGGCCGAAAGCAGGAACTTGACGTTGTCTCTCCGCGAAGTGCTGAACACGAGGTCCATCAACTCCTTCGGATAGTCATCCGTCTCATCCAGCCCATCGATCATGAAGAGAAACTTCTTGTTCGCATCGCCGACCAAGCTCTCAAACGCTGCTTTCAGTTCCGGAAAAGTGAACTCGTGTAGGCCACCAGCGTAGGATTGGAATGCATTCCAGCGATCGGAGAACAGGTTCTGCATAATGACCCCGTCTTCTTCCAGGGGCCCAAATATCATGTCCTGTAAGCTTTCGTAGATGATGGCTCGCAGTAGACCAATGGAACTCTTCTGCAGCTCTGTCCCATTGTTCCAAAGAAAGAACCCAGACGTGATGCCGGGTTTCTGACCAGACCACGCCTCGAGATGTGGGAACAAGAGTGGATTGCGGAAGAGATATTTCATCAGAGTGGTTTTCCCTGAGCCCGGTTTACCTGGAGCCGTTGTAAGAAGACATTCAGGGATCGAAAGACGGAATAGTAAGAGATGAAGACGCACCGGTGAGCCAATATATTTCTTCGCCCCTCGTATTAGTAAACCACTCCAGCAAACCGCCAACCTGTCTCGAGCCGTCTCCCATCACCCACTCGAACCCTAAATCGACGGAACTATCGATGCTATTCATCCTTTCGTCCATCTCCTCGAACCACAGCCTCTCGAAGATGGTAGCGCGGAAGTATGCTTCCTTCTCCGCCTGGATGAGCGCATCAACCTGTTTGGAAAACTCCTCTACATCCTTCTTCTTGCTGCTTTTCCAATCATTGCTGTGGATCATATCGAGGGTTTGGTTCTGCCACTTTTCCCAATGCTTCGTGTGCACGCCTTCGTCGCCGCTGAACAGAGCGAGACCAGTCTCAATGGATTGATCCAGATACTGGCGCATAGCGAGCAGTAAACTCGTCTCAATGTCGCGACGAAGGGCACGGTACTTCTTCTTTGTACCTGTCACATTGGCCTTCTTCCACACCCCGTTCAATAATGCTTCGCGCGCAGTGGGCCATCGCGGGTCACCAAACTTTCCCTTCTCTTGCGCAGCGATTAGCGCGTCGATGAATGAAGCTGTCAATTCTTTGACTAGCTCAGCATGCTTCAGCAATTGCAGCGCTGCCTCGCTAAGTTTCTTGGCTGCTTTTGCGCTCTTTGCTGATTTTTCGTCGTACAGCTCTTTGAGCTCAGAATTGTCAATTAGGTCGGTCAGGCGATAGAGATTGTGTATGATATCTTGTAGGAAGGCTGCATTTTCCACGAGCGGTGTTGTCGAAGGTGAGCTAGGCTGGAAGATGGGATGGTCTTTGCGTAATGCGTTGATGGAGAAGTCGATAGTTTGGATGAGCGCACTTGCAAGGCCGACCGCCGGTATGGGCCGCAACATACTGTGGAATTGCTTTTTCGCGGCACAGCAAAAGCCTAGTCGCGACGTCTGAGCCTTGTGACCCTTTTGATATGCGAAGCGCATGTCTGCTGCGCCCCTAAGGCGTATGCGCACAGACCAAGTTCACTGAGGGCCTAATCCAGGGTGCGGGCGTTTCAAAGTTCAGCGCACGTCGATCTTGCCGACACCACGACCTCCCGCGGTCGTCTCAGGACCGAGGTACTAAGGTCAGACCGTATGGTGCCTTCGCTACGACGACGTCGGGTTGGAACGGTCTTACCTGCCTAGCTATGATGCCACGTTGCCGACTCGACGGCTTCAGCCTGATATTGCGTAATATCGCAGATGCGTAAGAACGCCGCGCCAGCAGTCCGAGGTAGAGAAGCTCTGTGCTCTTCAATGGCACCAGAAGTTTGAGACTGAGCCGGACGCTTCTGACATGGTAAAGATAGACTGGATCTGCATGGGTTGACGTTTGCCTTGCGCCTACTTCCTCCGTCCTGCCCGGCGCAGTCGTCCCTCACCACAGTGGACCGCTAATCATGACGTTCAACAAGAGTTTCACCTCTTTCTTCAGTAGTCCAGCATGGATAAACCATCGATATGGATTTTGGCACTGCCGTTGGTGTCGTTTTCTCGATGTCTTTGCTAGAACTCACATTGTGCTAACAACATCGACTGTCACGGGGGATACCTCTGGAATCCATAACAGATCCACCTCTAAACACACAACCCTCTTGTCATCTTCCATGCTCTACTTTAGCCAATAGCGTTGGCATCGAATCTCTCTTCTGGCATAAGCTTATACTTTTCTACCCAAAACCTTCCGCCACGCAAACTCCTCCCTAAACCCCAACAACTCCTTCATCTTCGCATTACAAACCGGACTCCCCCTCCCCCTCAAACCGCCCAACACTTCCGTCTCAGGACAAGCCTTCCTCAGCCATTCCTCACTGCTCCCTTCTTCCTCCGGCACCGTAATCTCATCATTAACCGCATTAAAAATCTGGAACCCCAACCCATCCGTCTTCAAACAACACTGCACCATGTTCCCCAAATCGCGCGCATCGGTATAACTCCACGCATGCACCTTGAAATCCCGAGGCCGAGTCAAATACGCCGAGAACTTCTTGGCGTGGTTTTCAGGTTCTATAACTGCGGAGATGCGCAGGCAGTAGATGTCTACGCTGGGAAAGCGGCGGGCGAAGGAGGCGGCCGTGGTTTCCATGCAGACTTTACTGGTGGCGTAGACGTCCATGGGGCTTGTGGGACTGATTTCTGTGAGGGGAAAGTGCGGGTAGGAGACGTTGCCTTCGGCGTAGGTGATCCCGTAGGTGGTTATGCTGGATGCGAGGATGATCTTCTTGACGCCGAGTTTGCATGCTGCCTCGATGACATTGTAGGAGCTTAGGGTGTTGATGCGGTAAGTTTCGTTGTCGGGGAGGCGCATGGGTTGGGGGATGCCTGATAGGTGGGTCGGGTTAGTCTTGTTGAGAGTTTGTTGCTGGAGTCAAGTGATGTTTCCTGATTCCCTGCTTATTTGCAGGATGTCTAGAGGTGGGATGGAAAATGATACGTACCAGCAAAATGTACGACTGCATCTGGCGTCTTGACTGGCTCCATAAAGGGTTCACTAATCTTGAAGTGGCAAGACAGACTGTTGAAGGCTTGCGCCCCATCTGTGAGATCGGCCTTTAGAGTGTGTACATTGGGGTTGTCCAGAGGCGTTGCATCCACGTTGAGTATCTCGTGGCCGAAGGTAAGCAGCTTTTCAATTACATGGCGTCCTGCGACTCCAGAACCACCCGTAAATACTATTCTCTTGGTTTGTGAAGAGGCCATCACGCAAATGCGTAGGAATCTGCGAGATGGAGCTGTAAATGAGATCCGACGAAGGCGTTTATAAGTATGTAAATAAGGAACAACCAGTCGTAGAATTCATAGTGCTGATCGTCAGGTTTGTTGTTCTTGGGCGGAGCTTCCCCGCTCTAGCTTACGAAGCTCTAACCTTGTTGGCTCTCTTGAGTGCCGATGTGCATGGAGTCTTGATGGCCGAATCTAGTAATAGTGCGCGGACATGCAGTATACTAGTAGCAGAAGACCTGGGACAAACTCATACCGGTATTGGTACATTCATTCATGTCTATCATTCAAGCCTCAGCTACTCAGTGAGCTGGCGCTTTTGATCGTTATGTTCGGTCTTGCACATCAATTCCCCTCTACACAACCTGGGTGCCGTAACCCCTGATCCTGTCGGCAAATGCCCAGCTCTGGTTCTCCAGCTTCACGTTCTCATCGAGATCGACGCCGTCCTTGGTAATGACGGCAATCGAGTACTTGTCCATACTCCTGGCATCCCTGTAGAAGAGAACCTTCATGCACTCCTTGATCTTCTCTACCGCCTGCTCCCTTGTGACGTTCTCCACGGCGGCCTCATCTGGCAATATTGTCCTTAGGATTGGCTGGGCGAGATGTGCACCGAAGCCAGTGGCCAGCGATGGTGATGAAAAGGTGGTACCGAGAAGGTCTGCGCTTGCGAGGAAGGGCTTCTTGTCTCCGTCCATGCCCACGATGAGCAGGTGGTTCCACAATGGATCGAACTTTGAGCGGCGATTGTACATGACTTTGGCGAGGTAGGTGTGGAGGTTCTTGGCATTCAGCGAGTTTTCGGAGGAGGAGTAGTTCTCGCGGATGTCGAGCGAGTTGAGTAGGCGGTCCAGGTACTGCATGTCGGAAACATCGCCGCCGAAACCCACGACGACCTCGTCATTGAACTTTCGTAGGCGCTTGACGTCGGTGAAGCGAGCGAGGGAGCCGTATGAAGCTACATGTATGGTCAGCCAGACCCTCACTGCCTATAGTAGTGTGCCATACCCAGGTTGTCGGCGGCGATGACTACGCCGTCCTTGAACTTGGCCGCAAGTACTGAGGTACCCGTGACGATCGGGCTCTGGGTGTGCTGGTTGGGGCCGGCAGCGGAGAAGTGCGAAGGGTCGTAGGCGCCGTATACATCGTCTCTGGGCTACGATGCATTAGTACTGTTGCTGTTGGAGGCGGGCGGAAGACATACACGACCCCAAGCTTGCGGCAGGTGGTTCATGGTGGAAGAGGCGACTGAAATGCAGAACTGCAGAGACGGTGTTGTTCGGGATTCGGAGAGAGTGCTATGTCGCAGTGGGCTCAGAGATGAGGTTGTTGTTGTCACGACGCTCGTCAGGCAGTCGGTGGTTGCGCAGCTCGCCCGCCAAGACACGGAGCTGGCCCAAGCTCCGCATATTGAGGTCAATCGAGCATCGCCCACCAGCATTGCGCACTCACAATGCTCGGAATCGACTACCCAGACAGTGACGACGAGGACGTCGTGCCCGCGACCAAGCCAGAGGTGAGACCCGCAAATCTGTGCAGAGGGCTCGGATCGCTACTAATATAGAGTTGACCAACATTCCTGCAGCTGTCGCGCCCACCCCAGCGCCTCTCTCCGCTCCCGCGCCTCTCGAACAGCCGCCTACATCGTCGGGTCCGGTGAGCGGCCCTGCGCAAGGTCCGACAGTATCGCCGCCTCCAGAGGACGATGCCAACGCGAACGAAGCCGCGCCAGGTTCACCACACACAGCTACACGTGCCCTGATTCAGAACCTTACTCTACCTACCGTACCGAACTTCGATATACCGCCTTCTCCGCCGGGATCACCACCACAGAAAGCGACGAAGAAGTTTGCGCAATTTCTAGAGCTCAAGAAGAAGGGCCAGCATTTCAACCAGCGCCTGGAAGGCTCGTCCGTGCTACGCGATCCGGGACACATGCGGAAGCTGATGGGCTTTGCGGGAATCAGCGAAGAGGACGCATATGCATCTACACTGCCACAAGATGTCGCGATACCGGCAGTCTTCCCGGAGTGGGCCTATGTCGAGGAATTGAGGGCTTCACAGAAGCGCATCGCAAAGACCAAAGACCAAGAGAAATCCAAGGCACCGAGAGAAGCTCTCGAGTTTGTGTCCGCGTCCAAGACTGGCGCGTCGAGTGGAACGGGCACGGCGTCAAGCTCTGCTACGGGAAAGCGCAAGGAATTGGAACATAGAGGAAAGGACGATCAGGGCACAAAGAGCAAAGTAGAGCGCAGGTCAAGGTCGCCGAAGAGGAGACGATCAAGGTCGAGAGAGAGAAGGTGAGGGGAGAAGATAGCACAGACTGAGAAGACTTGTAGTAATACTGTGAATGCGGTGTTCGCACAACCAAAATGAAGTACACCCCAAGACATCTGATCCAGACCCTTGCTGTGCATGCCCGCCACAGACGGTAAATGCATGCTCTCACTACATGGGCGCCAAGACACTAGCGCGCGGAAGCTCCAGGCATTCGAGCTGCGTAACTCCAGAGCTCCAGCACCAACAAACAGAAGCGTCGCAACAGCCCACCCCCCTTCCGATACCGACTGTACCTCTGCAACCCCGCCCAAATCCGCCTCTCCAAAACTCGACGATGGCTGCCCTCTACACCGGTGCACCTCCGCAAGGCGGCCCAGGCTATTCGTTCAAGCAGACCCCCACAACTGTCCCGTCAGGCGAGCGGCAACATGGCTTCTACCCGTACGCTGGCTCGCCATGCTGAACATACGCACCGCTAACACAATGCAGCTACACGGACAACGGTGGCTCAACACTGGGCATCTCCGGCGCCGACTTCGCCATCCTCGCAGGCGACACACGCTCGACTTCCGGCTACAACATCAACACACGATACGCACCCAAGCTCTTCAAGATCGGCGGCGAGGGACCAGAGAACAAGGGTGCCAGGATAGTGCTGTCAGTGGTCGGTTTCGCCGCCGACGGTGATGCGCTGAAGGAGCGTCTCGACACCATCGTCAAGATGTACAAGTACCAGCACGGAAAGCCCATGACCGTCTCCGCCTGCGCACAACGACTCAGCCACATCCTCTACAACAAGCGCTTCTTCCCCTACTACGTACATGCCATCCTGGCTGGTCTGGACGAGGAGGGCAAGGGTGCGCTGTACTCCTACGACCCGGTCGGCAGCTACGAGAGGGAGCAGTGCAGGGCGGCTGGCGCTGCGGCATCTCTCATTATGCCTTTCTTGGACAACCAGGTCAACTTCAAGAACATGTACGAGCCAGGCAGCGGAACAGGCCACGAACTCAAGTCGAAGCAAGCACAACCGCTACCGCGGGATCACGTCGAGGACCTGGTACGGGACGCCTTCACGAGCGCCGTGGAGAGGCACATTGAGGTTGGTGATGGCCTTCAGATGATGATCATTACAAACGAGGGCATAGCCGAGACCTTCACACCCCTCAAGAGGGACTAAAAAGGTGTGACGTATAGACTTGGGGTGCAGTATCTTCACGAATTTGATGACTTCAAAACACCAAGCGGATGTATAAGTAGCATACCTCATGCTACTGAAGACTAAGAATTCATCTACATGATCAATGACCGAACATGTTCAAGACAACCTCCCATTCTCCTTGTATTATCTTGATATTGTTTATTTATTAATCTGCAATTAATAACTATGTGCTATATCTATAACTTATCCAATAACAGAACGCTGTTGTTGACTTATCTTCTAGTATATATTATGAAGTGATAAGTAGATTGCTACATATGCTTAGCTTTTAGGATACGTAGACAACATACCTACGTTAAGACTAATGCACGGAGCACCTAATTGGCATTGTGTTCCTATCTTAGCACAGATGTTTTCTCCGCTATTACAAGTGAAAGAAGGCATAATATGACATAGGCAAGAGCAAAAAAGAACAGACACCCTTGAGGTATTAAGTGTCTGGTGAAAACTCCGCTACACTCCCCAAATCGGCATCCTGGCATGCTCCGAAGATGCCATGCCAGGACGCCGCCTTGGGGAGTGTAGAAGTGGTTTTATCACGACTCGAACCCGCGGCTTCCAACATAGCTGGGAGCGACCCAGCATTGGCGGTGGTCTTACCCACTCCTTTGCTATGCTGCACGTTTCCGGCCGATCATCAGGTCTTCCATCCCGAGTCGATGGAGGGACGTAGAAGATCTAGGACTATATAGCGAGAGAGAGTTCGTGGTATACTCTGTATAAAATAGGCGGTGGAGGGAGATGGCTGGACTGGTGGGGAGGCGAGGTGAAGGTGAGTGTGGGCGTTTGCTATTTTGCTGGGTGAAGGTGGGCTGTGCGTGTGTGGCCTGTGGGAAGCGAGAGGTTTGACGAAGAGAAAGATGGTGAAGACTGAAGGATGACAAGGCTATGATCATGACGAAAGGATGGCTTGAGAGGAGAGACAAAGGTTGCTGATATACTCACGTGGGCATCAATAGGGTGGATGATGTAGCAACAAAGACATCGGAGAGACCACAACCCAACACATATAAGAGATTGAGGCATGAATAGAGTACGACGAGGTCGACCTACGTGAATGAAGAAAAATGTACTCACGCAGATGGCAACAGATGCGAAAGAGTGCACTTTGCTACGTCGAAAGATGATCAATCGACGATAACGACTAGGATTAACGGCACACGCATCGAAATTTGTATCAAGAGATACACCATGGTCGACCAAAGATGTGCGTCGATGAAGGAACGAGGGAGGTTCGTGTGCGTCGTGCGCGCCCCCGGGGCCCCTGCCCCAAACGTGCTAGCCGTCCCCACATCGGCAACAGCCAGCCAGGTGCCGACCCATCACTCTACCTACTGCAACTCGAGCACGTACTTCTCAGGCGGCCACTTCATCTGGACTTAAGCCTTCTATCACCTCCGACGCCATATTGGGAAGAGGAGAAAAACAAGCTTTCTAACCGAAGAACCGGATCTGGGAAATGCGCAAACGCGGCACGCGTCGCTTCTCGAATTTCATCTAAACAGATTGCTTTCGATAACTCGTCGCCCTAAGACCTGGATGTCTCGCCCGATCGCCCTAGATCACGGTCTCGCGAATTCAATGTGAAAATCGAACGTTCAGTTGCCGAAGGTGTTGGGGCTGCAATCCACAGGAACAGCATGGTTACCACTGCCAATCAGCACATACGCGTTACGAGTGTTGAGATTCTCGATCCCGAACCGCAGAGATGCGAAGAAGAAGCTACCATACGTTCACAAGACTTGCGCCCAACCGAACCGACGGGAGCTTTATCCGGTGGCTCGTAGCACACGCATTATATGCAAGCAAGCCTGCACGACACCCCCAAAAGCATACCTGTCAAACGAATCTAGAGCCCAGTTTCGGTGTAGTCAACACGGAATGGCTGCCTTTGGCGCACTGATTAATTTCCACACCACCTGCAGGACGTTACACGTGGAAAACTGAACCCGGGTTACGGCACTGACAAGCTTTGCTTTCATATAATCGCAAGTCACACGACGATGCCATACTCTAGAATGTTGCCTCTTGGGGTGTAGTCGCCTAGATCGATACCGTGGGCTACACTCCACCTGTAAGCGAGCATGTTGTATACTTCTTAGGGGATACAGAGGCAAGTATAAAGAGACGATAGGTAGGTATTCAATTCGATACCATCCCAGAACAGTCACAACACTTGCGTTCATTTCATCCAACGATCATCGGCAGAGCATTTATCATGAAGAGTGCAATCATCTTGACCGGCGTTGCTGCCTTCGCGACACAGGTAGCCTCTCATGCCACTTTTCAGCAGCTTTGGGTAAACGGTGTAGATCAGATAAGTACCCCCAAGTGTCTTGTATCAACCGCTGACATCCATCCACCAGTCGACGTGCGCAAGATTACCCAATGGCAACAGCCCCGTCACCTCAGTAGCAAGCAACGACATCCGCTGCAACGCCAACCGCGGTCCAGCAGCCTCGAAATGCAGCGTTCCTGCCGGTGGTACCGTCACCGTAGAGATGCACCAGCAGAACGGCGACCGCTCATGCGCTAACGAAGCCATCGGCGGAGCCCACTACGGCCCCGTTCTGGTCTACATGTCCAAGGTTGCAGACGCATCCACAGCGGATGGTTCGACCCCCTTCTTCAAGGTCTTCCAGGATACATGGGCGAAGAACAGCGGTGGCGGTGGCGGTTCGGATGATTACTGGGGTACTAAGGATCTGAACAAGAACTGTGGAAAGATGGATGTGAAGATTCCCACCAACCTGGCCCCTGGAGATTATCTACTGAGAGCGGAGGCTATTGCGCTACATGCTGCAGGTAGTGCCAACGGCGCCCAATTCTACATCACCTGCTACCAGATCACTGTCACTGGTAGTGGATCTTCTTCACCCGCTGGCGTATCGTTCCCTGGAGCATACAAGGCTACCGACCCCGGTATCCAAATCAACATCTACCAGAACCTCGCTTCGTACGTCGCTCCCGGTCCGGCAGTCATCGCGGGTGGTACAGAAGCCGTTGCTGGTAGTGCTGGATCAGCTGTCACTGCTACTGGTGGAGCGCCAGTTGCTACAGCTACTGCAACCACGATGAGGACGTCAGCGGTAGCCACCTCTGCCGCCGCTGTGCCAACGAATGGAGGTGGTTCTGGCGCTTGCTCTGTTGCAAGGTACGGCCAATGCGGCGGAAATGGTTTCACTGGATGCAAAACTTGTAAGTCGGATGAGCTGAGAAAACGTGCAAATAAGGCTTTACTAACGCTGTGTAGGTGCTTCAGGACTTACCTGCAAGGCCGGAGGTGATTACTACTCGCAGTGTGTCTGATTAGCTTGAATGCAGTCCAAGGGAGGCCCGTAGAAACTTCGTGTAAATACTTTGCAGTTGACACAGGCGCCAAAACCTGTTGCATTCAACAAATGACATTCGTTGTAGCCGCCTAGGTGGAATCAAAGTCTGCGTGATAGGGAAAACGCCCTCCCACAGCTCCATCGCATTTATCGCATCCAAGAACATTGTCAACATTAACATGCCTGGATCTGACTCATTTGGTCGCATGTGCCCTTTGAATGTCATGGGCTTCTAGACTCCGCCCTTTCCATCGGAGCAAACACGTCAAGCTAACCCTCTCCAACCTACCGGCAAAATCATCGGCACTATTTTCATTCCGAAGATTCTCAATCACCATGCAGCCATAAGGATACATGCAAACAAAAAAAGACAATCCAGATCAAGAAAACCAGTCAGACTTTGCAAAACACACCTGACGCGTGTATCCTGACATCTGTGCATGCAACGTTCTTCAGTGCCGCGATTCGGCATTGGACGCCTAACACTGTTGCCTAGCGCTGACACCACGATGCTTGCACTCGCTTACCAAAGCCCGCCAAGTAGGTACTCCGAGGGCTGCACCAAATGTGTAAGGCATGCAGTTAATGGCTTGTGCTGAGTGGGGAAGAGTCAAGTTGAATTCCGAAGCAGCTGAAAAGGGCAATGACGAACCTGATAGGGTCTCCGAGCTGATCGGTAGTGATATGACGAGTCTGCATATAAGAAGACATGTGGAACATCAATGGCAGAGTCATACTTGTCAACGAGAGCAGCCGCATACATTAAGTCGACTGTCTCAGCCCTCTCAATATCTCCAAGCAGTATTGATACGACGTCTACTTGTCACTGCTACCGAAGTACCACCACAATGTCTTCTCAATCCAACACTACCTCACCAAGCGATCTGCCACGCTATTCTACCACGGCACCACCGCCATACTCATCTTCCGATGCGAACTCTCTAATCTCAACGAAATCAACGTCGAAAAGTATTCTGGCAAAGTTGCTGAACCGAAAGCGTATGTTCATACATCCTTTGGCGGATTGGAACTCTAGCTAATACAGATAGCAGCTGCTGAAGCGACGTCGCAGTCGAGCAACGAAGCACAAAAGAAAGTGGATGAGTCTGAGAACAGAGCTGCTGCGAGAGCGGCGTACTTCTCCGGGCTCTGAACGATTCACCGCCTTTAGAGGAGTCAGATTGCCGGATTTGGGTTTCGGATGACGCGTGGAATAGTTCGCATGCTTGGATTCTGGGAATAATGTTGCTGGAAGAGCGGTTTGAGGCGTACATTGTGTCGGATCTCCATAATATACCGGGGTTCGGGTATGAGGCGTTGGACGGTTTGTTTTAGTTGGCCGAGGCTTTGCAGTCCTGTCAACACAATTGATTACACTCAGAACAAGTCCTGGATTGGTCAGCAAATTCTTTCTGCATGTGACTCTTCAGCTTACCGCATTATTCCACGTTGCGTTGTCTAGCCAGTTCAGAAAGTCGGACGACTCTGTTGGTATAGGTTCCAGCCCCTCGGTCATGGGCATATCGAAGAATCCCTGCCCCATCCCGGTCAGATTAGCTGCGGTATCGTCACCGGCATCTGGTGTGCCTTTGGTTGGAGGTTCGTAGTTCAGGACCTCATCTAGTACCAGCGCGAGCATTTTGTTGAGCTCGTTGCAAAGCTTGAGATTGCCGTCGCCGGGAAGAACGCTCCATTCCAAACATGAAGTCAGCACGGAAAGGTTACGGATTATGTCGGCCCGGGAGACTGTGCTAGGCAGTGGTACGCCCTCGATCGTACATCTCCGGAGCTCTAGTGCCAATACACCAGCAGCTGGGGAACAGTAGAATAAAATGACAGTGGGGAAATGGCGACGAGTTTCGTATATGCGGTTTTGCGGCTTAGAAGCCACGAGTGAGGACACCAGTAGCTTCAGAGACACTTCCAACAATGCCGGCAGAGCTTGTTGCGTTATCCGATGAAGGAGGCGTTGTGTTTGGAAATGTACGTGCAGGTAATCCAGGTAGTAGGCGACCAGTCGCATGGCCAGACCAGGACCGCGGTCTACCCAAGCAGCTTCTTCGGTATATGTATCATAGCGAAGGTGAGTCGGTAATGAGTTCCACCATTCGGCACATTCGGCAGATATTGCTCTGCTCTTGTTAGCCGAAGGTTAAAAAGCGATGGGAAATCTAGACGTACTCGACATTCCGCACCACTTCACTATCCTTTTCGCCTGCAAGACTTTGCTCTAACAACCTCTCTTTAAACACAGCAAGTTGGCATCGCATCCTACCGAAAGTAGTAGGGTGTAGATGACCTTCGGTATTCCAACCGTCGCTGTCGAGCTTCGAGAGCGCAGCATTGAGTACATCAGTATCGTCCGAGGCCATAGCGCGATCGCTAATGTCCAACAACATCTTGCGGTCACTGTATCTCCAGCCCATCATCGGAGGCCTTCCGTAGAACACCGCCAGCGTCTTGTCGCCGTAATATATCGCCGCGTAGAGTCGTCTCCTGAATTCGCGCATGAAGAACGGTTCTGCGTTGCTACCGTCTACGTTGCAAGCCTCGCAGTGGATTCCCGCAGCGTAAAGTGCGGATACGCTGTCGCCCATACGCCTCCAAGTAGCATGATCTGGAGAGTCAGCGATCGTAATTTAGTCTTCTGGATGTAGGGGTGACGTACGGTTGTCCCCATAGAAGCTACTGACTACCATCAGATTGATGTAAACGAGGCATACCATGACTGCTTCCATCAAAACGTGTACGGTAAGCCTGCGTATGAATGATACGTACGCTCATTGACAGCGCCATGTGTTTGGCATATGTTGATACACGTATTGGTTGCATGCATTATGTCCTCGATGAACTCCTCTCTATTCATCTGCTTGCCATCTTCTAATGTGAAGAGGGGGTCGTTAGGCGATGTGAACTGGGCACTAGAGCCGGCAATCGCCATGATCAAGCCCAAAATCTCCCATCTCAGATTTTTGCCTGTGAAGAGAGTGTGAAACTCTGACGGACGCATATCTGAAGGTATTTTCATTGGGCGAGCGGAGTTCCTTGTCATCTCGGCGTAGAGCAAGTGTGCGTGATTACCAGCAGCTTGGAGTTGTTCTAAGTCTATGCGCAGTTGTGGCAACGCGGAAAGAATAAGGGGACCAGGGAGGGCTGGATCTAGAATTTCGATGTACTAAGTCAGTTTATATCTCATACGCAGTGTGTACCTGAGAGATTTTACCCTTGTGCGATTCGAAATACATATGAAGAGACCTTTCATAGAAGGAAAATGGCTGAAGCGTAGAGACTATCGTATCTCCTAGAGAGAACTGGCAATGGCGGTGTGCCATGCCTCTATTTGACACGAAAGGGGCTGTGCTCGGACTTTCGGATGGCTGTTCATGTACTGTGTCTGGTAGCGGCTGCTCTTCTGTAAACACAGCGGCATAGCTAGTAGAACCCAAGAAGAAGTTCCGGGATGGGTCGGGTCCGCTTTGTGTTGTTCTAGTAGCAGAATCTGGAGGAGTAGGCCATGGCCCAATCCCCGCATCATTCCTCAAAGTTGGTGGACTTAGGGTCAACGGCGTCAACCTCCCCTGACTGGATGACGGATTTGTAGCCTGCGCATCCAACCGGCGACGACGCGGCTCTGGCTTCTTGCGAGGGGTGCCAGCAGGCTTCGTCATTGGGTTAGGATGATAAAAGCACTGTTCTGTCATCCCACGAGTCTGGCACTTTGAGCATGTGGGCGTGGCATGGTCGCACTTGATTTTCGATATGCGACATGGTTCGCACGACCTGCGCGTCACGATTAGCCACCCGTGGGTATCTGACTGTCGAATTCACCAACCTGGGCTTCCCGTTCCTTCGCAGCATACTAGATGATTCTCCGAATAGTGTAAGATTAGTGCGAAAGAACTGTTCCGCACCTAAGCTCACGTATCTCCTACATACAGAAGCAGAACCTCGTCGGAGTAATTCTTCAATGTTCCGGCGAAACGGCCCCGCAGCTTGCTAATCCCAAGTAGGTCTAGATCACATCGCTTCACGCCCCACAGTCTCTCTCGCCATTGGATGAGGTTGCTGATAAGCGGGAGCCTACTGGTGATGTACATGATCCTTACTGGAAACAGCTAATGACACGGAATATTCGGAGTGAAAGAATGTCACCAGCCACACAAATTGCAGAACGCTCACCTGGGCAGTCATCAGGTGCATTCATTAGAATCCGCTCTGGAGGTGTTCGCTGATTCCTGCGTGAACAGGCTGATTGAGTACAGGTAAAGATTGAGCGATGAACGACACTGGATTACTCGTATCGGATATGTGAAGGACTGCTGACACGCAGTACGGAGTTCTCGACGCCGATGATCTAGCGCGAACTTCGGACATCGATTCCGTCGAAGGCTCCGCGTCAGAAGTCGTATCTGACATTCTGTGGCAAGTCTTTTCCGAGCAAATAAATGCCATTCGCTATGTATGCTGGTTCTCTGTGTTAAATTTAAAAAGAGCGCCCCAGGCGCCAACGCTGAACAATGCTAGAGTAAACTTGCTACCAATCCACAAGCGTGTACATCTTCGTATGTTTGGGTATAATGCATAGCTATAATCACTGCCACCATATTGCCTCTCAGCTCGCTACACGTAGTTGAGAAGGGACCATAATCGCCACCATCAATGTCCCTTTCTGAGGCTCCTGAGACTACTCCTGGGCAATCTCTTGGGATCTTCCCCTTCGACTATGACCTTCGTAGTGACGCGTATATTCTGCTCCTCTTCGCTCTCACCGAGATTGCTCATTGGGTACAGCTCGTCCTGGCTCCCTGTTCTTACATCATCTTCCTCGCCATGAGTGCTCAGTTTGCTACCCTTTGTCACACGACTAGCGTTCCCTAAAGAACGGCCCTTGGATCCAGGGGTAGCAATGCCAAAGTGGTATCCCTCAGTGGAACTCTGCTCTTTTCTCGATACCCTTGCGCGGTAGAAGCCGTACATTCCAGGCATATTGGCGGTGATGATCGCTACCGCGAATTCGATAGACGTGACGATCGTGACGGAGCCGAAGATGTACGACACATCTTTCGTGTTTGCGAGTTGCCACAGGACGATGAAGCGAAGAAGCGAAATCATAATCGTGCAGCCTCCAAGGGTAAAGACGCACATCAGACCGATTCGGCGGCGGACCGTAGTTTGTACGTGCCACAGAGGGTAGATCGGGAGGAGGTAAATCACTACGTCCATGAAGACGTTCTGCATAGTGTCAGTGGAGAGTAGTCTGACAGGTGACGAGCGACTTACAGCAACGGAGGGCAAGTAGTATGATAGACCAGAGGAAATGCAGACAGCGTTCGGATAAAGTTCTGGGGTGAAAAAGGCTTGGATGGGGATACATTGCAGGCCGTAGAAAATCCATGTGCCGCCCGTCTGCAAGCCGACCAGGATCATAGTGGTTATTACCGCGATCCTAAAACCTGGTGTGACCTCGAGTGTGCGGCGATAGAAGAAGAGGAACGACATCTTTATGAAGAACTGTAGAAGAAGATAGTAGAACTCTTCTGCGAAGAGATACTGCCTTGTGTGTTAATATGTATGACCAAGCGAGCGAAAGCGTGCATTGCACGTAAGACTGCCATAACGTACAGTGCTGATTTTCTTGAGGTTTTCAGGCTTAACACGAGGGTCGGTAACGTGCCTAGAAAAACAGTTGGAAAACTTCTCTCCAGAAAGTGTCAAACTTACAGCCCGCCGCCTAAGATGGTCCACATCCAAGCGATATACTGCTGCCCGATGAACAAAATCTGTCTCTGGGTCAGTCACAGCACGGCTCAGAAACAGGGTAGGTTTAACACTCACAGTTCCAACCAGCATGAACCAGTCGTCTGTACCAAAAGGTTTTCGTATAAAAGCTCGAGTGTAAAGCCGGATAGTAGATGATATCAAGCCCATTATGAAGAATGGAACTGTGGTGATCCAAACAATGGGCTGAATATTATCGTACACCACCAAATTCACATTATCTCCGGCTCTTCGGACAAAATCCATAGTGGGCAGTGAACAGTACGTGAAAACTCCAAACGGTATGCACTTCTTCTCAACAAATACCAAAAGATCGCGAGTGCTTCGTCCGGCCGCAATAAGTCGAAGTGCTGCGAGTGAGTAAAGAGTAACCCCTTACAAAACGGGGAAAGGTATGTGTCGCTATACGCGACGCAGGAACCATTTGATTTTTGCAGCATGTGCCCAATGAAACGGTGCGTGAGTCGGCATGAAGAAGCGCTCCCGATCCTTGTCATGAAGTCGGCCCTATGTCGTTGAAGTTCGCGACTCGTTACTAGGACGAGTATCGGGTGGGGGTTGCCAACGGTCCAAACATGCGGTAGCGACATTCGGTCCTGATGAGGAGACTCCTTTGGGCACGAACGTGCGGCGTGACGCAGAGTGATAAGCGGTGGCATTACCACGGTGTTCTTCAAAACTGATGTTATCTCCCTATCGCGACTTACGTTATAGGCAGTCCGCGAGCTACCCTTAAGGCTTAACTGTAATGCCTTGTTGTATCCTGATCAACTAGAAGTAGACTTTATACTTGTCTCCTTATGTATGCGCAAATGGTATGTGGGTAGTGGAACGCGAACACTTCGGAGGTATTGTGCATTGCCCTAGTCAAAATCTGGGGTTGGACTCCACGGAAGTCTGCATGAGGTGAGATATGCTTTCATTCAAGCTCGCGCCGCGCCGTTGCCGCTTGCCGCGCCTAGATTCCGCACGCACTCACCATGCTTCCTGCGAGACATTAGACTGTCCTGGCGAGACCGTACAAGAGTGAGTCAGGAACGGCACTTTATCGGATGTAGAACTGCAGGTTTTCCGACCGAAGTAACGCCTCACAAACAGTTCATGATTGGCGCACTGGTTAAAATGAACCTTGCCGTCTCCACAGTGCAAGGCGCGCAACGTCGAGGCTTTGATATGATCAGCTGCTGAAATTCTCCGTCCCCAAGGGTCGTGGTTTTAAGCGAAATCCTTCTGTCTCTTATCCATTGCATTTTTCTGGAGCTTCTCGGCCTCAACCACGTTTTACCCCAGCAAGCAGCATGTCCGCGAAAGAGCTTAGGATCCGCCCAGCAGGTTGGGAGAGCGCTCCTGCAGAGGAGGACTTCGCTCTCTCCGATATGGACCACACCATGCCGAAGATCTATGTGCAGATAGTGGAGGTGTTCCAGCTCGCGCCACATGTTGAAAAGGCCAAGGTCGTGGATAGCATGGCCAAGGGTCTCGAAGTCACATTGAGCCAGTTCCCAATTCTCGCCGGCGGCTTGAAGATGGACGCGGACAATGGACGGCTGTGGGTGACGAAGAAAAAGGACAGTGAAGTCAGTCTGTTCGTGCAGAACCTGGAGGAAACGTTTCCTTCGTTTGAAGAGCTGGATAGGACCGATTTCCCAGCCGCGACGTTCAAGGGACACAGGTTGTTGCCCAAGGCGGTGACAGAGAAACAACTGTTCTCGCCGCTTGGGGACAATCAGGAAGACGATCTCCTCATTTCTACGTTTCAGATAAATTTCATCAAAGGCGGTCTCGTCCTCGGTGTTGCTATCCATCACAACTGTTCCGACGGCCCGGGATGCGACGGCTTCCTTACCACTTGGGCGCAGAACTCTGCAGCGGTGGCCAATGGAACTTCCTTCCAGGTAGTCCCCAAGGAAACGATGGACCGATCGCGTCTCAGTGCAAAGAAGCCAGATGCTGCGCGGTGGAAGGAACTCGACCACAAGTTCCCCGTACTTAAGGATGGCGGGGGTCCGCCTCCTCCACCGCCAGCCGACTTCAAGATGCCCGAGTTGGCTATTCGAATGTGGCATTTTCCTAAGAGTAAGACGGAGGAACTCAAGTCTCGAGCCATGACAAAGACAGGAGACAGTTGGATCTCGACTTACGATGCAATCATGTCCATCCTCTGGAAGAGTATCACACGGTCCAAGCTTGGGCTTCTCCACCCTGATCTTGGCAAGGAGGTCATCCTAGTTCATGCACTCAATACACGAAAGGTGTTGGACCCGCCTCTGCCGGAAACGATGATGGGCAATGCGGTTGCGCTTCCTCGCACCGAGCCGATCAAGATATCTGAACTTCTTGCTGAAGACAACCTTCCCAGCATTGCGCAAAGAGTGCGGAACTCGATCAAGACAATCACTCCGCAATACGTCGCTGAGCTTCCCGAGTGGATCGCGGGGCTCAACGATAGGCGGTGGATCAACATCAACATGAGTTCCTTCCTAGGCATGGACCTGGCAGGTACGAGTTGGCAAGGCATGAATGTGTACCAGAAACATGATTTTGGTTTCGGTGTCGCGAGAGCCATTCGCTTTCCCGATCCTCAATTCGAAGGCTATGTTTTCGTGTACCCGAGCAGGGCCGGTGTCAAGGCGAATGCTGTTGACGAAGGTATCGAGGTATGCGTGTGTTTGGAAAGAGGATGCCACGATCGGTTGATGAAGGATGAGGAGTTGCTGCGATACGCACAGCCTCGTGGCAACTAGGTGCGACATGGCCCGGCCTGTGCTGTATGTCATGACTTTCCACAAGATTAGAGTGTGCTTGAACATTTGCACGTTGTCGCGAAAATTCATATCCAGTGTCTCTCCTGCTTACCGACTGCCCTGTTACCCAGCATCATACTCCCATGACGTCACACAATGCAATGTGGTAGCACCGTCGACCGAGGGTGTCCTGGGTTGAGCGCTTTTCAAGCGCCTTGTCGATTGTCTCGAACAGAATAAGTGAAGCAGCAGCCACCCGGCAAGTGGCGCCGGTTGCACACCGCGGTCGCTCGAACTCACTGTGGGATCCGAGCAAGGTGCACAACTAGTCGGAAGGTCAGATTGAACGTAACGACCATAAGAATCAAACTGCGCCACAGTAGGCGCGGTGGTACTGTCTCGTGGCCAAACCCGGCTGTACGAAAATCGTGCTCCTCACAGTGCTGCGCCCTAAGCTGGAGTGGGCATAGTGTCTGCCCAGGTCGATTGGAGGCAGGACACGATGGCGCCTGCCAGGTCTACGAGCGCGCGCAAAGCAGCAAGCCTGAACGATGATCAAAGACGTTCTTCGTGCCAGCTCTGGCTTCACACTGCTGCCACCCCTCCGTCTTTCACATAGCGCACTTCTGCCAGAGACGCAAGCCAACGACGTCGAGCGACACATGACGCGCGACAGCCGCCACATGATCCGGCTTACCTTACCGTCCGCCAGTGTGCGCTGGCATTCGACAAGCCCTCTTACACAGAACGCTCACATCCCATGGATGCGCGCAACCGGGTGGAAACAACGGTATGACCTATTGCCGGACGGAAACGATTGGGTTGCGCGCCCGCACATATGTCACTGCCCGCAGCATGAGCTGGCAGCTCGTCTACCGGTCAACATCGCAGAGCCGCACTAGATCGTAATTTGCAGTTGCTCAACCAGCCGTCCCCTTCAGTGCGACCTTTATTCGTCCCCCCAAGGCTGCATTTGATGAGGTATGGCTTAGCGAACAAGGCGCAGGCTGTGCATTGCATAAGTCATGCCTGAGGCACATTGAGGCGGCTGGGGACGACTCCATGTGTTTCAGGACATGGCTCCCGCGACGAGCAAAAATCGCGACCAAAACGTGCAAAATGGGCCGCGACCAGCCACTTTGACGACAGAATCTCGACCTCAAACCATCGGTGATTTGCAGCGCAGCGCGAAGGCAGCGCGAATGTTGGTTGTGGTTTGGTGCGATCTAAAAGCTGTGCGGATGCATGCAGCTAAGCCAATAGCTTGCATTTGCCGGTTGTCCTTCACCGGTCCTCGCGGGGCAGCGTAAGATGGGCGGGAATGCCACCAGACTAATCGCCATCTGAACTTCTGACAATCAGCCGCTCTGAGACAGATTCTTCTTGCGCGTCCTCCTCGAGTAGTGTTGGACGTCCCCCATTCTGGTCAGACCCTTCGCGCGTGCCGTTCCCTGTTGCGCATCGCTGTTCTGCCCGGGTACGAGCCGTTGTCTTCCCGTCTTCACCATCTCCAGTCCGTGGCTCGAGCGCTGGGTCATCATCCCACAACAGGATTCTCATAGCCGTCTGATGCGCAAGGTCTAGGAAGACCCTAACTTCTGTCTGGCCCCGGCCGCCACTTGCGCATCATGTCGACATACTCACAGCACTACCAGACCTACCAGGACCAGCCGCTTTTCATCGATCCGCATGCATTTGTCTATGGTCAATATGACAGCCGGCGCTCGAAAACACCAACAGATTCCCTGATCAACCATACTGGACTCTCGCCTGGCCCGCTTGCGACCCCACCGCCTGTGAGCCGCGGTCTGCCGCAACAACCGGAACTGCCCCAAGACCAGCCACCCGAGTATATGCAATGGGAGATTGACAGCTCTTCGACCTCTCCCACGTCTGTAAGGACGCCAGAAGGCTCATCATTTGAAGGAGACATGATCGATTACACGCCTAACTACCACCATAACGGCAATACCATGTCATCCCACGGCTCACACCACTCCATACCCGGGGTGGATTCTGGCATGTTGTTCAGCGATCAAGGTTTGTCATCTTGACATAGCTCAGCCATATCCGCTGACACCCGCATAGCAGTCCAGGCGGCGTTTAACGCTACAATGGCTGAGACGCAGCGGTATCAACAGCAGTATACTATGCAGACCCAACCATCACACCACGTAGCACCGGCACATCCTCAAACCAACATGTACAATCAGAACTATACTACCCAGCCACCTCGCCATGACCCTTGGAATGGACAAGCACCTTCGCGGTCCTCAATGGTCCCTCGATCCGGCCATGTCGTTTTCGACCCTGCGAGCGATCCTATCAATTACTCGGACTATCTGGTGGATGTGGACTCGTGGGCAGCGCAATATACAGACCCTTCCTCCCTGATCTCACCTAGCGAACCCACGACATCATTCCAAGGTGAACTATACTTCACCCAAGGCCAAAATCTTCCTCATCGTCCGTTCGACCATGTGCCAAGAACACAACTTCCGACTCATCAGTCCATAGAGATGCAGTTCACGCGCGCATCACCACCACCCGATCAGCAAAACTTTGTCAACTACAACGCATCATCTAGTCTCTTCACGGATACTTACATCACCAGCAACCAATTTCCCGCCCCACCATCGACGGCCTCATCGACGGGCTACCACCCAAGGTCTCCGTATCAGCCAGAAGTTAGCCCTTCCGCACCCAGTCCGGGGAGCTCCGATGGCGTATACTCATCTTACCAACATTCAGACTCTGAGATGATCTTCGACCAGTATCAGACACAGCAATACACCCATCTGCAACAACTGCCGCAGCTACAGCAACCACACCAACCTTCTATCAAGATGGACTATTCCACAGTCAGCGCTGTACCTGAACTGAGTTTCGATGCATCTCCTGAGCCAGAGTCATCGCAGAGTGCAGCACAGAAAGCACTGGCAGCAAAGTCTGGTGGCAGAGCGTTGGGCACTCATCTCGAGCCGACTGTTGCCAAAGCAGCGCATGATATGCGTAAGATCGTGGCATGCTGGCATTGTGTGTTGCAGAGAGACAAGTGTGGGCCGGGCGATATCTGCGAGCGTTGCTTCAAGCGATCTCAGCGACCGAATGCTGATTGTGGCCTTGGATGTAATCGGCTGAAGCTCATCGATTTATCGCCATACTTCCTTCCTTCTCTGGTTACGCAAATGCATGAGGACGCAAACCTCACGCATTTCGTGACTCAGTACATCCAACAATGGGGAAGTGTCGAATTAACCGTCATGATGACATGCGGCCAAGACAATATGCCTCGGATGCCAGTGAAGGTGTACGAGTTCATCCCCCGTGGCGACGCGTTGCTAGTGCAAATCCAGTACAAGACGGATCCTGTCACACACACGAGAGTCGCTATCCAGAAGCAAAGCCCAGCACTAGGCATGGTGCACATCAACCACAACGAAGAGAAGAAGTACGACAGGTATATCACCGAGATTGTCGACCATCACCTCGACGCCTTTGGCGAGCTTTGCTGGATGGAAGATGACAACGACTTCCAACAGAAGCTCTTCAAGCTGATGACGCGCGTGAAGCCAAAGTCGGACGACGAGGCAAAGCTACTCCGTGAAATCTTCCGCCTTATCGTGGTCACGTTCATCATGTCACACACACTCACCATCGCCGAGGAAACGAAAGCCGCAACACTGTCACGCATGCACTCGTACAGCGGTCACAACTCTTACGTCGAGAACTACACATCGCCGCGCATGACCAACCGACAGCTCAAATACTTCTTCTCTCGTCTGCAACGCTCAATTCAGACTACTGTTCTGAACAAGCTTCAGCAGATCTTCAAATCTTCCAAGGGCTGCGATAAGTGGCTTGCCGCTTTTGTCGCGGTGCTAGGTATGTGCATGGCGCTTGAAGACCAGCAAAAGACCATTCACCTAGTCATGTCTACCAAGGCTACTACAGAGCGCTTAGACCTGAGAGACGCGCAGAGCCAGGCGGATATCGCGTGTCGTGAGATTGATCAGCGGATGCACTTCGTGCAGCAGATATTCCGATGGAAGTACAACCGCAAGCATAACCCCATGCGCGACGCAGATCACGACTGGGAAAAGGAGGTGGGCTTCGGAGATGCGAGCAGTGTTAACTTCGTGAGACAAGTTGCGCAGTTGGTCAAGGAGAACAGTAAGTCGATACCATCGCATTACTTGGATGTTGCGAGAGAGGCCTTGCTAATGACAATCCAGTCGATTTCCTGCAACAACGGCAGCAGGTCAGCATCTCAGCCGACAACCAGACGAAATATACGTCACGTCTTGTGGGACAGTTCTTGCTTTCCTTCTGGCTTCCTAGCGTGTAGAGCGCTTTGGCTGATCAAAGCTTGAAACACCATCACAAGTCCGCCACCAAGCAACGCCCTCGTCTGCAGCATTCGCATGAGCGTGTCGCTCCGACGCTCTATTCACGACATAATGTATAACGATCGTTTCCCTCATTCTCTATTCCAGCGTTAGGGTCTTTGCATTTAGGCCACGCTGACCATCTATTTCACGCAACAAAAAATACGTTGAAGGGTCAGTTGTTCAGTAACAATCTCGATCTACGACTTCATGATCTTCATTCACATTCTTGGCTTTGCGAAACATTAGCCACTTATTTTTATACCCTTTGGTTTCGTCACGGATGTCTTATTCCATTCTTGTTTGGAGATGCGATGGCTTCATCCCTCTAAAGTAGAACGATGCGTTATTTAGTCTAATGGGATTCCTCGCTTGTATCAATCTTGTTGCCGATCAGCGTGCATGATGTGAGGGGCATGGATGTGAGTTTTCCGTAAGCACCACACGGCAAGGCGAGGCAAGGCGAGGCAAAGTCTAGAGGGAACACCCTCGTTGAGCATACCCCATTCCGTGATCACGGACAAGGTTAACCCATATGTCCCTGTGCCGACTCCCGACCGGGTGAGAGTCAATTAAGGTTTGCGCATCATCCGCAGCTGATTTCCCCACTAA